CAGCAACACAAGTGGGATCTTAATAAATAAAGAACTTGGCTCTCACTGCCAACACCTCCCACCACACAGGGAGAGGATGACAGCCGAAAGACACTCCTTCCCCTCTCCGGAGCGCAGCAGTGACTGCGCATTTATTTCTGATTCTCAGAGGGATGCAGGCTCAGCTGTATGTCCCTCTGCCTGGAGCTGCTACATCTTGCAAAAGATACTGGCTGTTGTGCTGGAGCGGGACTGCCCTGTCATGGCCAGCAGACTGCAAATTCGCGGTCCGGTGAACTCCGGTCATGTCGCATGGAAAGAGCATCTCTAAGAGAAGAGTGTAAGGCAGCTCCCAGCCTCCGGCTGGCAATGGCAGTGGCAGATACAGGTCCAAGCCCTGCAAACAATTTGGGGATGTTCCCAGTGCTTGCTCCCAGCTGCAGCAGCTGCCAGCGCCCAGCCCTCGCTGCCAGCAGAGGACCAGGCTGGAGCCGGGGCTCTGCAAGGGCGCAAAGGGGAAAGCTGGGGCCGCACCATCTCGTGCCCATTAGCACATGCGGCTGCTCCAGCCCAACCAGCAATCTCTGAAGTAATGCCGTGGGTATCAGGGCAGGAAGGGAATTCCCATCCACATGGGTGGCATTTCACAGCTGCCAAAATGCCCTCCTCGCCAGCTCCCTGGGAGCGTTTCCTTGGTCCAGCAGGATAGGAGCCTGCCAAAAGGAATCAGCTTAGCAAGAGATCCAGGTACCTTGGCTCTTGTCCCAGAGCCCTCCGCGGTGCAGAGCTGTGCCCAGCTCTGCCTGTGCTGGGATGGGATGGGGAGATGAAAATGGTACTTCAATCCCTGTCCTTAGAGATGTCGGAGTTTCTCAGGGTGGTACTTTGCTACTCCAGCAAAGCCTCTGCCGCTTCATCCCACAGCTTCCTGCAGCATTCCCAGGGATGCCTGCCTGGCCATGTGGGCAATACAAGGAAGGGTACCAGTTCTTGGAGCCCACAGATGCCCCCCCAACGCAGGGAGTGTTGCCGCAGAATGGCCGGAGCTCCCCCGCACCCAGCCTGACTCACACAGCGAGGAGTAAAATGAATAAACACTTCAGTCTCTTCCCTGCAGCGGCAGCCAGGGAACAGCTGAAAGAGCCCGCCTCCTGCAAGGCACGCGATCGCTGGGGAGCATCCGTCACGCAAGCCCCCCCGAGACTCATCTGCCAGCATCGGCATCCTGGGTGTCAGCAGGCCCTTGGGAAATGGGTCCCAGTGGAAAGGAGAGGGCAGGATCTGCCATAAAACGCGGCTGCCATCCCACCCAGCAAGCTGCTCCTGCCATCGGGAGGGCTGGGCAGTGACACTGCTGCATGAAAGCTGCCCTTTTTACCACGAGGACCTGGTGTGTAGGGGAGCAACACCCATGAAAGCTTCACTTCACCTAGGAAGCTTTGTCAGGAAGTCAGTTCGAAAGTGACCTTGTCCCAAAAAACTGGCAAATGTTTATGGAGGGGAGAAAAAACCCTGAAACGGGCACCCAAAGCTTCTGAGATCACACCCCCCAGGGGGGCCAGCCGGGTATGGCTTACACACCAGCTTCTGGGCTGGGGACCACGGCTGCAGGCATGTGTGCAGGGCTGCGCAGAGGAGATATCTGTGCCAGGGACATGTCCCTGAGATGCAACACTTGTTTTTCAGCCTTCAGGGTGGTGACAACTTTGAGCTGCAGCCAGGCTAGGATTTCAGTCCGTGACCCAAAGGGGAAAGGCTTGGTGTGCCATTCCTGGGCTCCAGCTTGTACCCCAGCTCTTACAAGCAACTTGGTTTCTCTTTTCTGTATTTCCTAGGATCCTGCAAGCTTTGGATATTAAGGCTTTTAGATGTCTGGAAGCATTTTTCTTGCCTTGGATGCTTCCTAAAGGACTGGAGAGCAGGCACAGCCAGCCCCGCCACCTCCTCGCCTCCTGCGTGCCGCACCAGCAGCAGCATCCTATTTTATTCCACCTTCCTGCCGCTGGGCCTGTGCCCAGGACCAGACTGAATTTTCTTGCCAATACATTTTTCCTCCAAGATGTTCTGCCAGTCCGTAATGCCCTAATGTGCTGTCTAAAGGTTCTTCCCAAATCTGTTTTGGACAATTCCCAATTTGTAACCCAAGATTACTGCCCAAGCAAAGAAAGTCCTCCTTGCCAGAGGACTGCAGGACAAGGGACACCCCAGCCCCTGGGGCAGCCCCTTATCTTGGGGCTTTATGCCCCCTTGGCACCTCTTTCACAAGCAAAGGCAGGGCTGGAGAAGCCCAGAGGATCTGTTCCAGGTCCCCCCAACAGTTACAAACCCCTTCACCACCTCCTTCCAGCCTAAATTTGGCCTGGGCCACTTCATTTCCAGAGACATCCTTCCACGTAAACCTTCCCCTTCCTCTCCTGATCCCCGGGGAATTCACACGTAGACATGCTTCTGCCCGGGGATCGCAGCCTCGCAGGCGCGAGGCGCTCCACGGCAGCATGCCGGCGCGGAGGAGGCGGCAGCGGGGACACGGGTGTCGCTGCCTCCCCGCTGCCCCGTGCGTCCAAGGAGCCTCTGCAGCAGCGGATGCTTTTGCAGGTCCCCACAGCCTGGCTCCTCGCAGGCCCCAAAAGCGATTCCCTCCCCGTGGGCTCTGCAGCGGGGCAGGGGCCGGGCTGCTGCCGGGCGGCTACCAGGTCCCGGGCGTGGGCGAGTGCTGGCAACCCCTAATGACAGCCTGCTCTCGCTGCCGGCCCCGCTCTCCCCCCCCGCCAGGGACAGCGACCTGTTGCCGGCAATTAGAGGCGGTTTGCCGGTCCTCGGCCGGCCGAAAAACCGCCCCCAAAAACAGAGCCTGCTCCGCTGCGGGGCCGGGAGGGGCCGGGCCGCCCCGCTCCGCGCTCCCTCCGCCGCTGCGGAGCCCGGCGGGAGGGGGAACACCCGCTCGGTCACCGTGATAGCTTTCCTTTCCTTCCCCCCCAAAGACACCCAAATACCAGCACTAGAAAAAATATTATCATGGAGTCGTACCGGAGAACTTTTTAGGCTCTCCCGAAACGTATGGCAGTTTTCGTGCCGACCCCTTGTCTCCCGTTTCCCCAAAAAGGCGACTGAGAAAAGGCTTTTCGGTCGTGGCTCCCCCAGCGCAGCCTCGATCTTTTCCTCGCTGGAGTTTGTCCGAATGCCTGGCTAATTGAGGCTTACGTCAAATATTGCTCATCCGAAGTTAAATCTTACACGCTGAAGGCTGCTCTTTGTTTTTAAATCAAAAGGCTTGTGGCTCCGTCAAGGAGCTGAAAAAAAAAAAGCCTGGATTTATACTTTTCTGCAGTTTCAAACATGACACTCTCCCTTTTATTTATTTTCCTTTTTTTTAACCTCCGAAGGCTCAGCAGGCAAGCCTCTGCAAGAGAGGAGGGCTTTGCACCGGTGAGATCTGCAAACATGTCTCTTCTTTCTTGAACTTTATTTTTCTCACGGTCCCTGAAAAGGCGCGATCAGGTGATAGGTGTGGGATTGGCCCCGTGCAGGTGCAGATCAGGTACTGGGGAAGGTGGAAAAACATTACTGTGTGTACTCAGAAAAGAAAAGAAAGAGAGACAGAGAGAAGGAGCGAGCGAGTGAGCGCACTTTTGAATAGGCCAGGTCTAGTTCTTGGCAGGATGACTCAGGCTTAGCTGGCAGACTATGGGAATAGGAGTGTGAGAAAGTCAGTCAAGCGGAGGGGGAGGAAAAAAAAAAAAAAAGATTCAAGTCCGCAGGCAAAACGCTCCTTTCCCTGTCACAGTCACCC